TATAGCGAACTTTTCCTTAATAAAAAAGCTAACAGAGCAACAATACCCAATTTTGGTGTTGTCTTTGATTAAATAATATAGTTGAAAAACATCTATTTTTCATTAAAAGTGTTGCTAGAATCCCACTTTCCTGTGAGTAAAATAATTATTCCACACATTTGTACGAAACTCTGCCCTATGTTATAAATTTTACACATGTGAAGCAAGATTTTTCGTTAAACCCCGCTTAACTCGGTATTTTAGCAGCACTTTCTAATTTTGTCAAAAGGCAAACTGTCCTTCTGTACACATTTCATGTTTAAATATCCAGCTTATTGTTGTTCTGTCGCATTATTTATGCCATGAATGACAGTGAAAAGGCTGGCCGGGCTATATAACTGACTGTTTTCGAAATAGAATATAATCGTTGAAATTGATTTTGCATGCCCGTTTAGATAACTGAAATACACATGAATTTCACACAATATTCATTTGAAACTAATTTTACGTATCTCTGTACAGTCCCTGAAACCTTCTGCTTTCCCATTTTTCCGTTTGCTCACCGTTCGTTCACCATTCGTTCAGTGTGCGTTCACCGTGCGATCTTCGTTCCGTTAACTTTCCGTTCACCTTGCGTTTACCGTTCACCTATCGTTCGGTCTTCATTGTCATTCGGATCTCCGAAGTGAAAGGACTTTTCCTTTTTATGGTAAGGATTTACATGTTTTTTAAATTAAATAACTTAGATATCGTGTTTGAAGAATGATTATTTCATTACAAAAATTATCTATGATATTTATATTTCTATTATTATAACTCAGCTGTTACTTATTTCATGACATTTCCCTGCAAAATAAAATGTCTACAGATACATGAAGAAGTTAGCTAAAATAATCGTCATTAAAGAATACAAAAGGCACATCAATTAATATAGAATATTTTGCATTAGAATTAAAATAAAACAAGAATTTTTATGCAGTACGATAACAGCCAATGTCAACAGATAATTGTGAATTTGAATAAAATCCGTTATTTCCTGAGAATTGCTTTGGCACGGAAAGACTGTATGTTTGTTTCAACCGCGTGCAATGTATTTGATTTATTCTATAAGTAGTAGATTTATCATCAGATGTCCACATTATTTTATTTGTGAAAAGTATAAGCATATTCACTATATTAATAGATTAATTTTATATTTAATCTACACGCGTTGGGAAACAAATACACAGGTTTACGGGAAATAAAATCGTATTATAAAAATATCGATTTAAAACATAGGTACATGTAAATATATGTACAGAACAAAAATGTATTTTATTTATTTATTTATTTATTTATTGTTTATTTATATTTAAGCATCTGAAATTTGAATTATAGAATGATAGAATAATTTCAATGCAAAGAAAAGATCGGAGGCATTCCGAATAAATCGATCATCTTGCGTTCACCGTTCACTTTGCGCTCGCGTTAGCGCTCCGTTTGCGTTTTGTGTTCACTCACCGTTCACCGTTCGCACATCGTTCACCCACCGTTCGCTCTGCGTTCGTTCACCGTTCGTTCGCCGTTCAGGTGGGAAAGTAGAACGTTTCAGGGACTGTACCTGTTGTGGTAGCCAAATTCACGACATAAACAATTCCCAAGGCCAAGTTACTTGATATACACATATGACGTCATCGTAGTTTGTACTCGAAATGACTTACACAGCAAATAAAAATAAAAACATTTGTGTTTATTGTTTACAAGGTAAAAAAAATATCTAAATAATAATTTTACGAAGACTTGTTCTTAAATTGGCGTCATCTTGTCTACTATGACGTCATATTGTAGCACTGATTTAGTCAAGGTAGAATATTTTGTATGATTCCTTATTCCGATGAGGAGGCTGTACTTATGTACTAGAAATGACTGGTTTGAAATCGGCTTCTTCGACGGTATTAATCAAATATTCTTTAAAAGCAAGGATGCCTTGTCAAAAATTGTGCATTGTGCTGATCTAGGCCTTAGGGTCAGGGGTTCATTTGTGGTAGGGTCACTACTGATTATAGCTGAATACTACTAATGAGTTGAAATGTATTTTTTGTTCCCCTACCCTGAGTATGTGTATTAAGTAACCAAACTAAGCAACTGCTAAGTGTATAGTTATGATGATCAATGTTGCTTCTTTCAAAATTGTGAATGCTATAGCATCTGGCTTAAAACTTGAATCAAATTCAATTACCGGAAAGTTGTTGCATAATGTTCAGGTGACCTATAAGGCCCATTGGCCTCTTGTTCATCAATATTTTCGAAATGTTAAAAGTACATACTTCTTTTCTTTCCGCACACATGTTAATTGACATAACTTTTAAGCCTGACTATTTTCTACATCGTGAAGCATAGAAAACGTATTTTCACTATCAAATAAAAAGCGTGCAACAACATAGACAATGTTTTAAGGCTTGTTATCTAATTGCATTTTAGAGGAACTGGAACTTAATTCATCAAGTTGTAATCCTCCCTTTGCAAGGAGAAAGGTCTTCCTTTATGTATGTCAATTTCAAATATTTTAGTTCTTCTCAAAAATCAAAAAAGATATTAATTATTAAAACTCAACTACTTTCCTACACTTCAAACAATCCTTAAGAACGAAATTATAAACGGGTTTAACCTTTTGAATACTCATAACTAAGATATAACAGCAGTGAGACTTAATTAAGGACAGATGATACAAACAAATTTTATCTCTGGAGGAGACTTAATATCATGTCATATTAGTAATATTTTCCAAATCTATTTCATTTTCCATTTCTTAGGAGAAAAAATTCTAAGAATTATCCACTTTTCTAAACTTTCGACATGATATTAAATTTCCTCCAAAGATAAAATTTGTTTATATCATCTGTCCTTAAAAAGAACTGTATAAAAGTTATTTTGAAAAGGCATGTAAATTATTTAAGAAATAAACAACGTTATTCAGTGAACAAGGCGTTATGAATAGCAATTGCTCTGCTGGCATATTCCATGATGCGCGCTAGCGCATCATGGAAAATATGCCAGCAGAGCTATTGCTATTCATAATGCCATGTTCACTGAATAATCGTTGTTTATTACTTATATTTGCATTCTTTGATTTATTAAAAAATATCAGAGGAAATCCTGACTAACATAAGGACACGGCCTTTTGTCTTCAGTAATGAAAAACATACGGCTTTAAAATCAGTACACCTGATCAATGATACTTTTATCTAATAAATCACAAACAATTATAAAGTATTTTCTTCTCAAACACAGTTATCTGGATACAAGCAGCGCCGTCAACACATTCTCTGAAGTTTTGTTTTTATGCAGTTGTGACGTCATCGATCAACGTTATTGAAACCCTCTAACAAAAATCAACGATTTAACTGATAATGCTTTTATAATGATTATTACTCCAGAATGCTTTTTTTTATATTTTTTTTAGTTCTTCTTTTTATTTTACATAGCTGAAATTATTCTTGAAGTCGATAAACTAGTTTTCTGAATGTTATTACCCAAGTGTGAAGAGTTATCGTTCTTTGAACTAATGTGCATGATACAAAAAAATAAAAATAGGGCAGTTTTCTACAATTTTTAAAAAGTTTTATTATACAATTAAATACATAGACCAAGATTAAATTTTTAAAGATATAAATCAGCTATTTTAATTATTCTGAATTTCTTTTTTCTCAAAGAATTTTATTAAAAACTTATTTTTATTCCATTAACAAAAAGTTTCATATATAAACTTCGCAACACGGTCTATAAGTGTAGTAGAAATTGTTCTACACGAGTGTGATTAGAGCAATTGCACTTATAGTAGGAACAGTTGCGTCTATAGTCCTATGAACGCAGTTGATGACTACATGTTCATAGTGAGAGAGGGCAATGGATATGCAAATATATATATTTGCATATCTACTTCTTTTTCCCACTATAAACCCCCAAATTTCAACTGCATTTATATTTCTATAACAGCAATTGCTCTGACTGTAACAGCAATTGCTTCTCAGTCATTCTTGGTGAGAGACTTCTACAACTATAAAGTGATTTTAACTTGTATATATAGGGAATATTCTAAAAATATAAAAAATGAAGTGGTTATTAAATTTACCAAAATTTTGAAATAAATTATGGAGTAGTTTACTTTATTATATTGCTTTTTTTAATCAATTACAAGTATCATGCTTAATTGTACATTAAAAAATACGACACAAACAACAGATGTTTAATTTTTATTATTTATCTGCATAATTACAGTGTTTATCGTTCACTTCAAGAAAAATGTAGTTTGTTCTTATCAGTTTGTATTACCCGAAATTTGAGTGTCCTTAATTTTGAGATATATATTATATATAAAAAAAGAATTGTCATCTTCACAATATGAAGGTTTTGTGATATGTCCGTTAATATTTTTTTTAGCAGATTATATGTATCACGTGACAATTGCAACGTCATAATAGAGATTATGACGTCACGATACTTCAGTTTATTAACGGCACAGCGAAAACATAGACAGATTATAAATTGAAATTACTTATTAAGATGTATCAGATTGAGTGAAATTCATGAATGTGGGCAGAGTTTTAAGGTCAAGATCTAGTAAATGAAAGGTGCCTACAGATTTATCAAACTTGAGAAATAAATTCCTTTATTGGTGTTTTACAACATTAACTTGGTCAGATAATGTGTTTCGGGGCAAAATTTGTAAGTAAACAAGATGAAAAGCTGTATTTTAAACTGATATTTTCAATGAAAAATTAAGAAAACCAGTCATGAATATGGGAGTTTTTCTCATATTCGACAGAGGAAATGTATCCAGATTGCCTACAGTCTCTCAGAAAACGGTAATTTGTATGTTCATGGCCTCTTCTTTAAATCAATATCAAATTTAATATAGGTATCCGGTTTACTTTTCATATGATTTCAAATTGAATGTCATAAAAATACCTTATTTTCTACATAATTCTGCTAAAGCCGTAAAGTACGGGAAAAAGAAAGTTGAAATTGATTATGACATCATAATGGATCTAGCACCAAAAAAGAAGTCTCAGGTTATTTACTAGATCTTGACCTTAACAAAATTCGGGGAGGATAATATTTTAGAGAAGATTCATATCACATGACATTTTCAACGTCATAATAGCTATTATGACGTCAGTAAACTTTAGTTTATATTGGCAACGAATGTCGGAATAGTGTTGTCATCTAATCGAAAGAAAACTCTGCGTAAAAGTACGATGAATACCCAAAATAATGTGAGTAGCAACTTTGAACAATGTTAGACTGTTCACGAACAAATATTGCATAATGCAATAATTATACCAAATACATTTCTCTCCTTTAAAAAAAAAAAAAAAAAAAAAAAAAAAAAGAATATTCTTGTGATGGCATAAATAGAATTCACTTACGACATAATGAGGAAAAAGGCGATATATTTTAAAGGAGTATTTCGAAAATCGGGAATTTGTTTATGTCAAGGATCAAATATAATAAATACACTGGAATGCTTCAATTCATAAGTTTTGAAAATACTCTAGATATACTAATAATGAACCTACTTTGATGAATTTTTTTATGTAATGGATCCAACTAGTTTCCAACCCGTGTTTTCATTTTATTATAGAACGACATATTGAATTTCGGAGAGGAAGCCGTCACCAGTGTGGTAGGTTACTTAGCTTTTAATATAATGATATTTCAACTTAGTTTTGATTCCACTCACTAAATTGGGTATAATAGCCAATGTCATAAAAAAAAAAAACCTTTTATTTTCAGGATGCCAAATTGGCAATTCTGTCTTTCTCTTACAACTGGGCTGATATTGTTGAGCAAGAGGAGAAGTTAAAGGTATTTTTCTACACCATTAATTAACATATTATGAATATTTGACTATTTAAACATATTATGAATATTTAATTTTTCATTTGCTTATATTCTGCACAACTTACAAATTATGACACAGGTTCCTGACAGAAAAATGTACCTAAAGAATTTTTTTGTGGAATACAGTATAATATACGACCTTAAGAATGCTCTCTCTCTTTCTCTTTCTCTCTCTCATAATTTCATAAAAATATAATCTGTAAATTTCAGAGTAATGGAGATGTCCTTGTGCCTCAAAAGCACCTAGACCAGACGAACGTCACAAGTATTACTGTTGAAGCAGCAGGATTTTCTACAGCAGAACTAGCAAAGTCTAAGGTAGAAAAAAAAAATGCAAATAAATATGTTAATCTAGAAATAATAGTAAAGTGATACAAACGAAAATAATCATGCTATGCTTTAGAGTCTACATTTTTCTAAATAATGCTAGTTAATTTTGGAGGATGCAGATTTTCACTTACTGTATTCTGTTTCTTTTCTGAGAGGATGTAGAAATTCTTTTTTTTTTTTTTTTTTTTAAAGTTGTTCAGTATTAAATGCTATTATGGAGAACAAAACTATTATGATCGAATTGATTCAGAAAACTTTCATTTTATAAATTTTTAAAATGCTTCATACTATAATAAACCTACTTTGATGAAAAAATTTTATGCAATGGTTCCAAGTAGTTTCTAATCCATGTTTTCATTTTATAGAGCGAGATCTTGGATTTCGGAGAGGAAGCCGTAACCAGTGTGGTAGGTGAACTTAACTTTTAATTTTATGAAATTTCAACTTATTTTTTATTCCACTCACTAAATTGGGTATATATAATAGCCAATGACATAAAAAAAACCTTTTGTTTTCAGGATGCCAAACTGGCAATTCTAGCCTTTTCATATAACTGGGCAGATGTGGTGGAGGAAGAAGAGAAATTAAAGGTAAGTAACATCAATATAAAGGTATTTCAACAATCCACCCATTTAAAATATTTGATCATTTACATGTATTGTAAATATGTCCTGCGCAATTAAAAAATGACACAACTGGGTCCCTGGCAGAGTAATATGTACATGTTTACATAAAAAGTTATCTTTCTGGAATGCAATATTTATATGTATTTTAAAATGTAATAGCTCTATTTTCTGTTTCGTTTTTTATGTTCAAGAAATTATGAATTAAAAAATATTTTGTTAATTTAAGTGTAATGGAGATGTTTCCGGGCCTATGGTACATCTAGGCCAGACAATCGCTGACGTCCTGAGTAAATCAGAGAACTCTTCTACAGTAGAAGCGACCAATTCTAAGGTATAATTTGCAAATGAGTACTTTACATTAGAAACAATTGTTATATTTATGTTGTCTGTCTTAATTAATGAAAAATAATCATTAAAATACGCATATAATGCCTTCAACTTGTTTTTTATTTTATCCTCATTTCCTTTAAAGGAAGCAAGAAAAGCCATCTCTAACCCGAACTTGTCAAACGGAGCCCCCGAATACAAAGACACAGCGGACACGAACTTCGGTCCAACACAACGAGATTCTCGCCCATTGCAACTGGGAGAAAAAGACAATAAAGATGCTGCAGAATCTAGCAGTTTTGCGTCCCCCAATAAAATGGAGAAGACCGGGTACCGAATGGACAATTCTGTGATACAGTGCATGAAGAGACTGACGCATATCAGTGATGCTAAAACTGGATTTGTAGTGGGTGAAATTCATGCGCAGTGCATTCCTCAAGAATCAGACAAACGGAATAGACAGCCAAGGAGGACAGAATGTAGTATTACAGTATCCAAGGAGTTACAGGTTAGACAGTGTTATTTTAATCTTTGGTTGAAAATGTGTAAATATTTGAATTTAACTGGATGAAATATACATAAATGTATAATTTTTACTGTGTTTAATTACAGAGCTTATATCCTCAAATCACCCTATTGGACGGTACTCCTGTTAGATACAGCATCAATAGTGGTGCAACAGCGACATGCAGCACCAATAGCGGTACAATAGGGACATTCAGCACCAATAATCGAACCAGGTAAGGATGTTATGCTATCTTTTTAAAAGTTTTAAGTTTGCAATATTTCCTATTCAAATTGTATCATGATATAATAGTAATTCAATAGCATACAATCGTAAATTTGAAACGAACACATTTTCATTTCTGTTACAGAAAAATCTGTGGACTGGAAATCATTGACCAAGAAATATCTATTCTGTCAACAGAGCCAGAGGTAAGAAATGAAAGGTTTTTCTCTAAGAATAATGTCAGTTACCCATCCATATGAGAAATGATTTAAATCTTGGAAAGAACATACAGCATAAATGCTGCTTTTTGTTTAAAGGGGATAGGGTGGGTTGGGGTATGGGTTGTTTTTGTATTTTTCGTTTTAAAGAAATCCATAGTAAGATTTTTTCTTTGTAGCAGCTAATTGCGCCCGACATCCAGGAATCAAAGAATGAGGAAACTGACGCAGAAAACGAGTATTTTACCAAACACCCTCTGATGCGACTGTTTCTCTGTGGAGCTTGTTGTTCAGTGAGTACAAGTTCCCAAATACTTCAAGTCAATTTAAACAATTTGTGTTGATTGACTTATCAGTTAACGAATATTGCTTTTAAAATATTTTATTAATGTTTTTTTTTTCAGAAAAAAAGAAAAACGAAGACCACTGAGAAAGTTGGACTGTTCAGAAGAATTCGAAAGATTTTCCACAGGAAATAAATGACTGTTACATGTTCCTGAAATTAAGAAGCTAATCTGTGAAAATTTTTTAGAGTTAATTAAATCTTAATGTATTTTTTACTCTCATTATTTTGTTTATTTATTTATTTGTCTCTGTTCACTGAACATGATGACTTTTACTTCCATTATAACCATATACACAGAATTTTAAAACGTGAGATATATTTGCTAACATGGTCATTACAAAGACCATGGAGTTTCTGAAGTGCAGACTTAAAACGAGCTTGTTGAAGTCTCTGTAGCACCATCTTCTTTGTCAGTAGCTTACATTGGTTTTAAAAATTGATCGTACTCGTAGCATGCTAGCTCTTGAGATCGAATAAGTATGGATATGTAAACACTACTGAGGTAATATCATACTAGTATATAACTACAAAAATAAGGAAAGTTAATTGACGATGGAAATGATAAAATAGTTTCTTTTGTCATACAATAGTTGAAAATTTATACCTATTGATTTTTAGTAAAGCATCCAAATCTAAAAAAAAAGTGGCAGATCGACTCTGCTGTGTCCTAAATTTCAAGTTCACTTGGATATATCTAGTCGACATATGAATGAAGTACGTAACTATGTTAATTGATAATATTACTTCGACGATATCTAAATCTCAATTTGAATCGTTTTGAAGGACACCGCGGATATTTTCTTTTCATGTAGAAGTTTTTGAATAAATCCTGCCTCATAGATAAGAAGCACGATTAGTGCCCATTCAAATTCCAACCATTCGTTGAAAAAATAAGGAATTCGAGCAATGTCAGAGTACTTGTGTGTTTGCAGAATCAGGCTAATATTATTGAAGAACACAAAGTCTTACGGTCACAATCAATCTCACAAATATTGATTTTCGATATGCAATAATTTTATACACGCTCAATGCCATGTTAAACTTTTTAAAATGCTTGGATGGAATTTAAGTTATGATATGTCATTTTATTTTACCAAAAATACTAGTAAGCCTAATATTTCAGTCTTATTCATTATTTCTGTCATCGAAACTCTATTCGTTGGTCCTGCTCTCTACAACTCAGGTTTTCTATATTTACGAACACTCACTAGAAAACTGGTTATCTTTCTTTACACGTTAAATCATTGGTGTCGTCGCCCGCTTGGGGCAGTGGTCAGAGCGTTTTCTCTGAGTCGCAAAGCAAGGGCTTAATCCTTACGTCGCGGGTTCGAATCCCAACTGTGGGAAGTGGAGACCGGTCCTTCGGATGAGACCGTATAAACCGAGGTCCTATGTCGCAATAGGCGCTGGCACGAAAAAGATGCCAAGGATAGGACAAAATTTTCAGCTCTCCACCGACAAGTGGTGGCGTCTCCATATGAATGAAAAATCCTCGAAAGGGATATAAACAACATTCAAATAAATAAACATCTCCGGTGTCCAAATGTCAACCTGTCTTAATCCATCTTTCAATTTATACCAGAAGTCTCTGTCGAGACTGAAGCTCTACTGGTTTGTTCTTATAGCAAAGGAAAAGAAAAGTTCTTAAGCAGTTGGGAATTGAAACTTTACCACAGCAATAAAAAGAATAATGAGCTTTGATTAAGTCTCTTTATGTTCTTAGTGTAGTCTACTTGCATGTCACATTATATTATAATCAGACTTAAACTGTACTTGGAGTAGCATTTTGAAAGTTTTTAACAGAAATTTCTATTTTTAGTTACCACGGCAACACCGTTCATCGAAATCAAAAACTGATACACAGAATTATGTATCTTAGTGTAGTCTACTTGTATGCCAAGTTATATCGAAATCAGACCAAAACTGTAGGAGGAGTAGCATTTTGAAAGAATTTTACAGAAATTTCTATTTTTAGTAACAACGGCAACACCGTTCATTGAAATCAAAAACCGATATACAGAATTATGTATCTTAGTGTAGTCTACTTGTGTGCCAAGTTATATTGAAATCAGACCAAAACTGTAGGAGAAGTAGCATTTTGAAAGAATTTCACAGGAATTTCTATTTTTAGTAACAACGGCAACACCGTTCATTGAAATCAAAAACCGATACACAGAATTATGTATCTTAGTGTAGTCTACTTGTGTGCCAAGTTATATTGAAATCAGACCAAAACAGTAGCATTTTGAAAGAATTTCACAGAAAATTCTATTTTTAGTAACCACGGCAACACCGTTCATTGAAATCTAAAACCGATACACAGAATTATGTATCTTAGTGTAGTCTACTTGTGTGCCAAGTTATATTGAAATCAGACCAAAACTGTAGGTGGAGTAGCATTTTGAAAGAATTTCACAGGAATTTCTATTTTTAGGAACAACGACAACACCGTTCATTGAAATCAAAAACCGATACACAGAATTATGTATCTTAGTGTAGTCTACTTGTGTGCCAAGTTATATTGAAATCAGACCAAAACAGTAGGAGGAGTAGTATTTTGAAAGAATTTCACAGAAAATTCTATTTTTAGTAACCACGGCAACACCGTTCATTGAAATCAAAAACCGATACACAGAATTATGTATCTTAGTGTAGTCTACTTGTGTGCCAAGTTATATTGAAATCAGACCAAAACTGTAGGAAGAGTAGCATTTTGAAAGAATTTTACAGAAATTTCTATTTTTAGTAACAACGGCAACACCGTTCATTGAAATCAAAAACCGATATACAGAATTATGTATCTTAGTGTAGCCTACTTGTGTGCCAAGTTATACTGAAATCAGACCAAAACAGTAGGAGG